CTATCCCCGCGGCGCGTGGCTGGCTGACCGAGCGCTTGTGTATCAAGCCACCTTCTCGTTATGCTCCTCATCTTCCTACTTCTGAAGCGCCCATAAGGTGCAGGATCCTCCACTGACGAGCGGTCCCCAATCTCCCTCACCTGCTCTTACTCCCCCTCCTACCCCTGCCACCCCCATATGTAAATCGTATGAATACTAACATCGGTTTCCTTACAACACGGTCGTTGCAACACTAAGACCAAAACGCCTGAACCCCCATGTGAATTGACGGCCTCGCTCCCGTGTGGATTGTCTAGCCTCGCTCCCGTGCGAATGTGTTGGTCTCGCTCCCGTGCGAACTCTACGGCATCACCACCGTGTAAATTGTATGGCCTCGCTCACGTGTGAATTGGATGGCCTCGATTTCGTGTGAAGTGCACGGCGTCGCCTTCGTGTGAATTGTATGGTCTCGCGTTCGAGTGAATGGTATGGCCTCGCTTTCGTGTGAATCGTATGGCCTCGCTTTCGAGTGACGTGCATGCCATCGCCTTCATGCGACTTGTACGGCATCGCCCCGATTTGAATTGTATGGCCTCGCTTTCGTGTGAAATGAATGGCCTCGTTATCGTGTGAAGTGAATGACCTCGCCTTCGTGTGAATTGTATGCCCTCGCTGACGTGCGAGCCGTATGGCCTCGCTGTTGTGAGACTCGTATGGCCTCGCCTTCGTGTGACTCCCACCAGCCAGCCAAGGTGTTCTAGCGAGCTCTTTCATCTCCCAAAATCCCTCTTCCCTTTGGGGAGGGGTACCCGGCTACCCTGCCCCTCCCCTCCCTGAATCCCACCAGCCCTCTGGGCGTCGGTGGTTTAGGGAGTTTCCTCTTCCACCCCTCCTTCTTCCCCTTCGGGGAGGGGTTTACCCCTCCCCCTACCCCCTCCCCTGGACCTGGACAGGGGGTCTCGCGAGTCGTCGGAGCGTCCAAAGCGGCCTCGGCGAGGAAGCCAGAATCATTGAGGGTTTTGGCCCCATTGTGGCCTTCTGAGGGGGCGACTGTAATCCGTAACCCCCCCTTCTTTGATCGATCTCCTCCGAGATGGCCCCAAGAGCGCTCCCAAGGCTCCCAAGGGTGCCCCAAGAGGGCCCCCAGAGGTGGCCAGGAGGCCCCAAGAGGCCCCCAAGAGGCCCCCAGGATGCCCCCAAGAGGGTCCCAAGAGACCTCCAAGAGGCCCCAAGAGGCCTCGACGACAATGCCAAAATCGCTGATTTCACTACGGTTTTGTCTACATTTGGGCCTCCTGGGGGGGGGGGGCACTGCATTAGATGACTCCAAGAGCGTCTGGGAGAGCCAAAGATGATCCCCAAGATGGCTCAAGATATCCCAATATGCCTCAAGATGGCGCCCACGATGCCCGAAGAGGCCCCAAGACCGCTCCAAGACGGCTCCAAGTGGCCAAAGAGCTCCCCCAAGAGGCCCCGAAGAGGCCAACACCCTTCCAAAACATTAGGAAAATCAATGTTTTTGGCTTTCTCGCCGAGGCCTCGAGATGGCTCCAAGATGGCCCAAAAGGGCTCCAAGAGCGCTCCCAAGGCTCCCAAGAGCGCTTCGAGAGGGCCCCCCCCAAGAGGCGTCCAGGAGGCCCCAGGAGACCCCAACAGGCGCCCAAGAGGCCCCCAAGAGGCTCCCAAGAGACCCCCAAGAGGCCCCAAGAAGCTCCCCGAGGCACCCAAGACGCTCTAAGAGGCGCCCAGGACCGCCAAGAGGCCCCCAAGACGCTCCAAGAAGCCTCCACTGGGGGACCCTTCCTCTGTGTGCTGCCCCGCTTCCCTGATCGAGACAATTCCTCTGGGCATCGTTTCTGGATGGGCTGGTGGGGATTCGCGAAGCGTCAACAATTTGTTTTGGGGCGGGCCGCGAGCTGTCAGGGTGCCCAAGATGGCCGAATATGGCTCAAACAGGGCGTCCGATGCTCCAACATGGACCGCTGAAGATAGCAGGCATACCTCCAAGCGGCCAGATGAAGGCCACAAGACGGTTCCAAGTGCTCCTGGGCCCCCCTCAGGACCCCCCCCCGAGACCAAAACCCATCAAAAGCTCAAGGAAACTCATTGATGCTTGCCGTCGCGCTATCTCGTGTCCGATGGTGGCCTCATGATGACCCAAGAGAAGCCCAAGAGGGGCTCAAGCAGCCCCCCCAGACGGCCCGTCGAGCGCCCAAGAGCGGCCCGAGAGGACCCCAAGAAGCTATGTTGATGGCCCCAGGGGGGGAGACAAATGAGGGACCCCCCCTCCATTAAACGACGCCCTTCAAGATTGCTCCAAGAAGCCTTACAACAGGGCTCCCAAGAGGGCCCCAACCGCGCCCAAGAGCGATCCAAGAGCGTCCCACGAGGGTCCCAAGAGGCGGTGTGCCGTCTCCTCCTCCTCCTCCTCCTCCTCCTCTCTCCCTCCCCTCTCCCCCTCCTCCTCCTCTCCTCCTCCTCCCTCCTCCTCCTCCTCCTCCTCCTCCCTCCTCCTCCTCCCCTCCTCCTCCTCCTCCTCCTCCCTCCTCCTGCTGCCCCTCCCCTCGTCCCCACCCGCGGGCCCCAGGGATGGCCCGAAAAGGCCTTCCAAGCCCCTCACCCCCCCGTCTGCTCCCAGATATCTCTCAGTTCATCCTGGTTGCCCGCTTTATGTCACTATACTTTTTTCTTTTCGTCCCGTGTCCCGTCAACTCTCATGGGCAACTTTTCTGAACGGGCTGGCGAAATGCGTGTAACGAGAGCAATTGTCTGGCCTCGCGTTCGTGTGAATTGCAAGGCCTTATGTTCGTGCGAATTGTATTGCCTCGCTGTCGTGCGCCCTGTTTGACCTCGCGTTCATGTGAGTTGTAAAGCATCGCTTTCGCGTGGCTTGTATGGCCGGGCATCGCTTTCGTGTGAATGATATGGCCTCGCTTTCGTGTGAACGGTATGGCTTCGCTTTCGTGAGACTTGTATGACCTCGCTGCCGTGTGACTTGTACGGCCTCGCGTTCGTGCAGATTCTGTATGGTCCCCTTTGCGTGTTAAGTCTATGGTCCCACTTTCATGTGACGCTGTTGGTCTCGCTCTCGTGTGAACTGTATGGCCTCGCCCCCGTGTGCACTGTGCGGCGTCGCTTTCGTGTGACTCGCGTGGCCTCGCCTTGGCGCGACTTGCACGGCCTCGCATGCGTGTGAATTGTTGAGCCTCGCCCTCGTGTGACGTGTACGGTCTCACGCTCATGTTGATTGTACAGCCTCGCTCTCGCGTGAAGTGTATGGTCGTTTGCGTGTGACGCACATGGCCTCGCGTTCGTGTGATCTGCACGTGCTCGCGTGCCGTGTGCCCTGCATGGCCTCACTCCCGTGTGGACTCCGTGGCCCTGCCCCCGTTGAGTCCTGCGGCCTCGCTCCCGGTGGAACTGTACGACTTCGCCCCGTGGCGTCCAGTGTGGTCTCTCCACGGTGTCTCGAGACAGCGCAAGACTGCTCAGTAGGGCCTCCGCCAGACCTCAAGGGGTCCCGAGACCTCTCCAAAACGGGTGCAAAGAGAAGCTTGGAGCCTCCCCAGAGCGCACGCAAAAGAGGCCCAAACCCTTCAGCATCCAAAGCAAGAGCAGTCATGAGTTATGATGTCTCGTCCTTTCGCTTCCGATGACCCTCGAAGACCTCAAGACAGCTCCAAGAGGGCCCAAGAGGACCCCAAGACGGCCCCGAGAGCGCCCTGAGAGCGCACCAAGAGCGTCCTAGTACTGGGCCTCTCTGATATCTGTCTGGTCCTCGTCCTCCTCCGCGTGTTCCTCCTCCTCCTCCTCCTCCTCCTCCTCCTCCTCCTCCTCCTCCTCCTCCTTCTCCCCCTCCTCCTCCTCCTCCTCCTCCTCCTTCTCCCCCTCCTCCTCCTCCTCCTGCTCGTCCTCGTCACCCTCGCCCCCACGCGGGCCGTAGGAATGGCTCCAAAGAGCCCTCCAAGCCCCGCCAACCCCCGCGCCCCAAGAGATCTCTCAACTCACCCTTGTTACCCGCGCTTTCACCAGATGTGTCTCTTCCCCCCTTTGTTCCCGCCAACCCTCGTGGGCATCGTCTCCGGATGGGCTGGTGGGGGCACGCGAAGCGTGAAGACTTGCGACGACGACGACGACGACGACGACGACGACGACGACGACGACGATGGCGGCGGCGGCGGCTCAGCCGCAATCCGCTCACGAGGGGCCCACGGGCCCCGCCCGGGGGCCCGACCGAGCGACGGTGCGCCGAGCTGCGCCCAGCCGCGGCGACGAGGGCCTCCGAGGGCCACGGAGGGGCCCCGAGCCCGGCGCCTCGCGGCCCGCGGGTCGCACCTGTGCTGCCCCCTCCTCTTCGCGCGACCCTCCCCCGCCCCCAGCCCCTTTCTATCATCGATTCTCCTCTCTCCTCGATGTTCCCTGCTCCTCGGTCGCCTCACCCATCCCTCCCGCCTCCCCCCCTCATCTCCAGGTCCCTGCTCTGCTGAGGGTGCTGGTCTGCTGGTGATGCTGATGGTGCTTCGCTGGGGGCGATGCGGATGGGAATGGCAAACACAAATAACAAGGAGGGGGGAGGAGACTGAGCATCGGACATCGGCCGAACCATCACGAGGCCAGCAGCAAAAGCAGCCAGGGAATCCCACCAGCCCTCTGGGCGCAGGTGGTCTAGCAAGTCGTCCCCTCCTCTTCCAAAGTCCCTGTCCCCTTCGGGAAAGGTTACCCTGCCCCTCCCCTCCCCTCCCCCATCTCTGCGAGACCAGACAATTCACGCGTAAGCGAGGCCATACAATTCACACGAACGCGAGGCCGTACAAGTCCCACGAAAGCGGGGACATACGCGTCACACGAAAGCGAGGCCAGACAACTTCACACGCGAACGATGCCACATAATTCGCACGGGGGCGAGGCCATACAGGTTACACGAAAGCGAAGCCATACACATCGCACGAACGCGAGGCCATACACATCACACGAAAGCAAAGACTTACAATTCAAACGAGAGCGAGGCTCGAAAATTCACA